ATAAATATATTAACACATAGGTATGAAATATTGTTTTTAGGTCACCTAATTATAATTATGAGGACGATGCGAAACTTTGGGATGATTCCGATAAGTTCTTTTCGATAATAATAATAATAATAATAATAATAATAATAATGTAGAATAGTTAATTTAGCTCCAGATCCGCTTTGGAAGCTATGGAGCAGAGGAAAGTATCTTGCCCGTGCCAGGAATCGAACCCAGGGGTCCAGTCCGTAGCCTCTCACTACTGACTCAGCTACCCAGGCTTGTTGTTAACTTCCTAAATTCTTCCTCATCCCCCACAAAATCAAGATATAACCTTTTGTCAAATAGCAAGAATTTGACGGAGAGAATCATAAAACGGTAAAAGGGCGTTGCCCATTATTCAGGACTATTTGACAAGGTATTAATCACAAAAACAAGAATCTGGTTATATCAATAAAGCCAAAAGCCATTATTTTGCGGTTCCGAAGGAACAGAGTTTTTCTTTCGAAACAATGTTAATGTGATACGTGTGGCTGTCCACCAATTTGTCTACTTCTCTGTCCCTTGATTTATAGATACTAAATGGCCGAGCACACGGATCACAGTGGTAGCGCGGACTAACGCATGAACTGTCTTCGCCCGAATCGCACTTTAGGCATGGACGTCTGTGTGTGTTTATTCTGTGTCTGTGCTGTCCCGTATGAAGGTAGCAGCCTTGCGACGGGCTGATCCCCCGCCCAAGGAGTGCTACCGATAGTTTGAAAGATCAAGAAACTGAAAAAGCGGACAAGGTACAACAAAGGGCTGTAGAGCCATAGATAAGTATATAGAGAGATAATTGGCCGAGCAACTTAGCCAAAGCCGCAACGTGTCTCACTTGTATTTTGGAGGTATTTGGCCCTAATTTAACATAGATACGTTAGGGTCCACTGGGCAATAGTTGTACCCCCAAGAGAATAATAATATCAAACACTTCTGTACAGATGTTCTATGATAGCTAAATGTGTGTTCTTTTATTGCATGACAGAAGAAGAGAGGAAAATGAATACAAATGGATCGCAGAAGGATTTTATAAATTTAAATGATCCTAAGACATGTAGCTATTGAATTTAAAATTCTTGAGAGGAGAATGCGAGGACGAATAAAGAAGAAATGTTTCAGAACGAGAGATAAATTGTAACACGATGTTATAATTTTCATGAAGGTCTAACTGCACTAGATTCATTTTATTATATAGAGTTAGGATGTCGTCAGACTGCGATGTTTCGTGTTATATTAGTCATTCTAGAAGAATTCCGATAATGGCTTCAAATGTATGTATATTCCTGAATTATCAGTCCACTGTAAATAAGCTGCAAACGTTACGCGACCACTGCATCTGTCATAGCGTCAGAGCCGCAGCCAGTGAACTAAACTTGTGCCAACTGGATGATCAACACTGAAGCTTGACAAGAGCTAATTTTCAGAGGGTTGGTAATTCGTTTAAATAGCAACTAACAATGTGGTTTATTTAGGAGATGGATGATTCACAAATGTGCCAAACTTATCCAGATGTTCTAAACATGCACACACACAAACACACACACTCAAATGCACAATCTATTTTTAGTCAGTCGGTGGACTCCTAATACTTTAATTGTATAAGCGGCGTAGCTACTATGGAGAAGGCGGGGGGGACGAACTTTAGGGACCTCCCTCAGCCAGCAGACTTCTCAATTTAGCTCTATCTCATTTATGCACATAAAAACTAAAAGAAAGCACAAGTAAATCAACAGAGAACTAATTTATAGAAACAAGGTGTCTTCAATGTTACGGCCTTATCGTCTTTCAAGTTGACGTTTCTGACATTTTCAGTTCTCGTTCTGCCAACGTCAGCGCTAGTGTGCAACAAAGCAGCCCTTCTGGTCTCTTTAGGGTTGCCGCTAATGGGCTGTAAAGGTGCGAGGTTGTGAGGTGGATCAGTAAAGGCTCCAAACATTTCAGCCGAGCCCCGGCTCCCAGAAACGTCTCTATGCTAGTCACTAGTATCAGTAATGTTATATTTTAGCGTCCTGTTGCACTGATTCATGTCCATGATGTGTATTTATGCTAAACATCTTGTAGTGCACACAATTTCACCTTTCTCTTCACTTTTACACTGCATGTTTCAGCACTAATGTGCCATCTTCAGGTGTGTCTCTATCCACGTCAAACTACTGCATTGCATGCTATGACGTTTTCATTCTAAAATGACTAAAATGTGTATTCGTCATGTATAATAATAAATTCTAAATATTAAAACCTTTCAGGATTCGTCATCCATACGTCGCATCAGGTTATAAGTTAGTATCCTGGACCAAATATTCCAAACAATATTTAAATTTCAAACGATGTCTAGAGACAGATTAAAGGCCTAGATAAATATTGTTTCTATGCTCGAGTAAGCATCAAGCTATGAAAAAGCACGGAAAGGTGGAGATATAGCTCCACGTATTCTTAACATGTACGCTAGATGGAGGAGAGTGACCAGCTTCGCACCCACGTCGATTTATCTCGGGATATAGAGGCACTGGTACTCATTCGAGAGGAGGCTGGGTGCATCCTAGGTTCTTTGGTGGGACGTGGTGGACAAGAGAAATATCTCTTGTACCAGCTGGGGACCGAACCCCCTCCCCTCGTTTTCTCAGTTGCCCAGACGTACTGATCAGGGCGCAGGGATCTGCTCTCAGAGCCTCAGACACATCTCTATCCTAGTGACTCAGTAATCTTCCGAACAGTTTTAGGATGTGCAGTACGCATAGGGGAGAAGAGGAATGAGTACGGAGGTTTGGTGGGAAAGCCAGAACGAAATATATCACTAGGAAAACTTAGATGAAGTTGGGAGTATATTATTAAAATGGATCTTAGAGAAATAGAATGGGGTGGCATGGACTGGATTAGTCTGCTTCAGACTAGGAACCAACGGCAATGAACCTTCAGGTTCCGTAAAATATTGTGAAGTTCTTGAGTAGCTGAACGAGGAGTCAGTTTTCATATTTCAAAGAAATTCAATTATGGAAATAAAAGTAATTTTGCCTTCTACGAGCTATTTGTTGAAGTAGGCCTACGAGAACTTAGCATGATCGAGACAGATCCGTCATCTCTTAGCAAGCAGAATCATGTATCAGAAGTTTCTCACAAGTATGAAGAACAGGAGTAACCTGTCTGAGAGCTGTGTGATTCATGCTCTCCGAAGGATATGCTTAGCCTATTGAAGTTAATTCATGTTATTCACTTGTCAGTACACAGGACACCATTAGTACAGATGTCACACACTAACTACGGCGTCATTGAATCATAGTTAATAGAATCTGTTTAATTTATTTAACGAGACCTGGTATTCCCCAGCGTCGTAACTTTACACGTAACTAGCAGTGGCGGCTCGTAACAGGCTGAACATATCCTCTAGCATATATGAGTACCAGGAATCCTTCTGGGGATAAAGGGCGGCCGGCGCGTAATGCTGACAGCATCACCGCCATCTGTGAGAAGATTGCCTAGAAAATGTGGGAGGCTCGACGTCTCACAACCCTATAGGCTCCACGACCTGCCACAGAGATAACTTCAGCTTTTCTTACCTTTATTTAAATTTTCAAATTTTAAAACTTTATATTTTAAATAATATAACCTTTTAGCATCTTTAGGCTCATTTTGTGTTGCCAGGAGCGCTTAAAAAAATCAGCTGCGACCAACTGTGACCTGCGGTTGAGCATCTCATTTCCTCTTGGTAGAACTACAATGCCCCTTTGCATCGAGACAGATTCAGATGGCGCGAGGTTCAATGACCTTTTCATCGCATGGGTCGATCATAGTGACAGCTGAACTGACCAGCAGTTCCGTACCGTTCGGTTAGGAAGCATACGAGCCTGAGGACGCACTGTTTCTATGGCTTTGAAGGCAGGACCGACCATATTCTTCGCAGTTCTCTTTCAGGTTCTTCGAAGCGACAGAGACTTGTGTGACGTCGTATCACTTCAAGATTTCCTTTAAATTCAGTTCCATATTTCTTCACGGATTTCTTTCCATGTGTATCTGTTTAGTATCATCACTAAAATTAATTTATTTTCGCTTGATGTAATATCGTCTTTAAAATTATTGCTAAATCTGCATAGCCTATGATTCTGCATGACGGTTCTAACAAACTAATAACCAAATTCACGTTAAAGACTTGCCATTGGAAATAAACATGCACAACCCACGCATGCATGCACGTACTGGTCACAAAATCTTATTTAATCTCATTTAAATAAATATTGCAATAAGCCTAAACGTTAACAGGTAACTTTCCTTGCAGTGTGGCCCATTGTGTGCAATGGGCGAGAGGAGAATGGACGTTCGGACAGCGGGGAGAGACTCGAACACACACTAAATTCTACAAGGGCCCGCAATCACTGGGCCCGCAGCAAGTAACAGATTTGAGAGAGGAAGACGTTGCGTTTACCGAATGCTATAACGAAGTGCAAAGAGCTTTCATGTTAAAGTACGAGGTAAGGCTTTCAAAGAAATCTGAGCAACCTCTCTCGGATTTTGGAAAATCTTTTTCTACCAAAGAAAACGTCAGCAAATTAGAAATCTTTCAAAGTACTTATATGCCACACTAAATGCAAACAAATTAGACATTCATGAAATTAATTTTTATACATTGAGACATTAAATGTTAGGCCCCTTCGGCCTTTGGAGACGGGCCGTCCCTGACTATATAGTGACGACACACACATACATACACATATGCTCAAGATTTTCAATGGCAGGAAAAATAATGAATAATTTACGTATGTTTATACAGATTTACTAACAATCCGTACTTCTTCCTACCAGTCTCCGTCTTGTATTCAGCAAACATTGCAAAAGCTACTGAAGTCACCACCGCTGTTTCGATAAATTATCATGCAAATACTATTTCTCTCTATCGACCATGCATAGTGACCTTGTGCCTAGTTTCGGTGTTTGATTAGTCTGTCGCCAGTAACTAATGCTAATGAGAGTCGCACGAACCGCATGGAAGAAACAATTTAAATACCGGCGTTCCTGAGTTCTGACACGCAGTTGATCTGGGTGTAGTACACGAACTTGGAAGCTGTCTTGTAGTTATGGCTCTGAGAGTAGGTGCCACTTTGTTACAACTCACCAAAATATCAACATTAAAACATAAAATGTGAAGTAGGCTAATGTGTCTTGATAATAATTTATAACATATTAGAAACAATTTTTAATCTTGTAAGATTTGAGGTTTTCACGGCGGTGACTATGAAGAAAGCAGTCTTCTGGGATTTGGCACCACATATACACGGTGCCAAATCCCAGAAGACTGCTTTCTTCAGTTATTAATCTTCATTTGTTTCTTAATGCTAGGACTTTGGTTTCGGATGAGATAGTAAATTGTGTGTTTTCAACAATCTGTTTACTGTCTTCAAAAGTCAGTTAAGTGATAGTGATATCTTGGTGGAAATCTATAGAAAATATCGGATGTCCTTAAACATGTTACGTATATTCATGTTACAGACTGTGACATGGTTCCTAATCATAGGCTGTTTGGCAGCAGTGGCAGTATCAGCCCCTACATCAGTTGAAGATTCCTCTTCGGAGTAAGTATACATTTCTGCTGCTGCGTGTTCGCCTTTAGTTTCGCATTTGGAAGATCAGTATTCATTTCTTTCATGGTCCCGTGACGGTGCTTTAACAGTTTCTTCTTAAGGCTGACATCTTTCTCGAATTTCTGAACTAGATTCACGAAACATGATTGAAGTACTGAAGATATGTTAGATTCTTCTGCGGAATCAGCAACATACATAATAAATGCAAAATTATTTATGTATCGACCACAGTGGCCGAGCTGTCGCTCGCTCGAACGCTAGGATCGTGGTTTCGAGTCCGACTTGAGTCATTGATATTTGTGTGCGTCCATTCTGTGTTTGCGCTGTTCTGTGTGCAGGTAGCGGCCTTACGACGGGCTGCTCTCCCGTCCAAGGAATCCTACCAACTGTATACAGGATTAGGAAACTGAAAAAAAAAAAGAAACAGCCAAAGTCCAACAAAGAGCTGTATAGACATAGACAGATAATAGTTATGTACAGAATTAGGTTCGATTTGTCCACGATTTATGCTAACCGTCTTACAGTTCATACAGTTTTTCACCTTACTCTTCTCTTTTGCACTACATGTTTCAGCACTAATGTGCCATCTTCAGGTGCGTTTTTTCTATGCACGTCTAACTACTGCATTGCATGCCCTGATGTCTTCATACTAAAATGACTAAAATATATATTCGTCATGTACAATAATAGATTTTAGTCATTTTATTATGAAGACATCAGGGCATGCATTGCAGTAGTTAGACATGCATAGAGAAAACGCACCTGAAGATGGCACATTAGTGCTGAAACATGTAGCGCAAAAGAGAAGAGTAAGGTGAAAAAGTGTATGCACTATAAGACGGTTAGCATGAATCATGGACATGAATCAGTGCAACAGGACGCTAAAATATAACATTAGGTTCAATTTGGTTACTTCTCTTATGAGAAGTATGTTCGTAGGTCTACTGGTGACAGCGTTTATTCATTTAGGCCTATTTGATTATTCTACTACGTTTTATTACCTGCTGAGTTAATGCATTTTTGGTATATTTTTTAATCTTGGGGGGACTCATATGAATTACTGCTGGCAATGAAAACATCCATTCGCGGCTACACTTTTGCGTCTCAACAAACTCCTTTTCATGAGCATTTTGCTACGGAAGACATTTTAGTCATTTCAGTAGTTCTAGCAGACACAAACACACAAAAATGTTGTCTCTCACCCGCGCGCACACACGCACGCACAAAGCCGTGCACATGAACGTGCATGTTTATAAAAGTATCATTCTTTTTGCTTATTGGCGGGAAAGCGAGAAGGAAAGAGGCCACTGGGAAGATCAAGACGTAAATGGGTGGATAATATTGAAATTAATATTAGAGAGATGGACTGGTATGGTATGGACTGGAATGGTCTGGCTCAGGATAGGGTCCAGTGGAGGGCTCTTGTGAACACGATAATAAACATTCGGGTTCCATAAAATGCTGTGGAGTTCTTGAATAGCTGCACAATTGGTGGCTTCTCAAGAAGGACAGAGCTTCATGGAGTTAGTTAGTTATTCTTGTTTCTTAATTTCACAGGGAATCGACAACAGTTGGTGCTGCAACTCTACCTGGGACGCTTCCAGAGAACAAGAAGACAAAGTGAGTTGTTACGTGTTAGTTCATAACAGGCAGCAATGTAAAGATCCGTGGGTATTACAATGCAACCGTTTAACGGTAGTTTAAGGAAACATATTATTTCTGTATAAAATGATTCACAACTATCCCTCGGTGTTGGGCCGCGCCATAGCTCAAGCGGTTAGTCGCTGGCTTCCCACCGCGGCGGCCCGGGTTCAAAGTCGGGTCTGGTCAAGTGGGATTTGTGGTGGAAAAAGTGGCGCTAGGGTAGGTTTTCTCCGAGTACTTCGGTTTCTCCTGCCAATCTTCATTCCACCAAACTCTCCATCATCATAATCGCCCGGGGCAGGTACAATAGGGCAATCATTGGCCGTCGTGCCGAGTGGACCCAGATGGACTCCACCCCCCCACTAAGCGAAAAATATCCTCGGTGTTCGATTAAGTTTATTTGGATAATGACGTTTATTGTTTAAAAATATAGATATATGCAGAATTAAATGGGGGCTGATATAAGTTATAATTACTTTTACAAATGCATAAACTGCAATAAAATAACCATGAAGAACGCTCATGCAAATTAACACGTGAACAACACAGGTTCAATTTCAAGTCACAGTAAACCTCATCCTGGTATCATTGGAAAATCAACATCATATTTCTCTGAATGTATAATTTATAACTTTGTCATATTTCCTCCCAAAATTACCAACTCTAAATTATGACTTTGTAATGAATATTATTTTATGTTACATGTTAGCTTCTTCTTCTTCAGTCGCTTCATTGATTAGCTGTGGATTTAACTGTAATTCTAAAATTGTTGTTTTTATACATTGCTGAGATTACATCTTATAGGTGCTACTGGCTTTAAAATTACTCAGTTCTTCAGCCCTAAATGACACACGATGGAACTGCGGCCTATAACATAATGTACGACGAATAGGTAGATCCACTTCTATAGTCTGTAGCTTAATTTCTCGTACAATGAGTATCCACCACATCAGTCGTCTGCACTGAATCTATCAACCTAAGTCCCGATAATAGAAATTGCGTTCCTGTTTTCAAGTGCCGGAACCCATATTTTTATTTTATATAGACTAATTGGTCAATGCCTTAAATCCGGCAATGGCTTCTGTTTCCAGCACGTGTCAATTACAACGTAAATAATTCCACACCTGCATGGACCTAAAATCAGTATAAAGATTGTGAAATGAACATGTTAACAGTAATAAACGTGACTTGTTTTTGGGATTTTTGCCGCTCGAATCTTGGGCCAGCACTGGCTGTCTTACTAAATTTAACATGGGCGGATGATGGGCATAGCTCTGTCAGTATAGCAACTAGGCTACGGGTTGGACAAACGGGGTTCGATTCCTGACAGGCAGAAGATATTTACATGTATATTTTTCTATAATGTTCAAACCGGCTCTGGGGCTCTCCGAGCCTTCTATCCCATGGGTACCTTAGGAATTACCGCCGAAGGTAAAGCGGCAGGGCCGTGATGGTGATCGAACTCACTTCCATCTAGTGCCGAGGTTAAGAATGGCGGTGCTGTAACTCTACTCCCACATATGTCTTCAGGGAGTGGCGCTTAATTATGTAATTAAGTAGATGGCATTGTTACTTTCTTTACCTTCAGTATGCATGTAGGATGGGCTGCTTCCCACAGCCAGGCTATGATCAACTCCTTCTCTAAACGACTACATCCCGGACTGCAGGAGTATGGTATTGAATAACTGGATATTACTGACTTAGAAAGGATGTGAAAGCAATCAGACGTGGATTAATTTTAAGATTTTATCCTGTTACTTTCAGACAGGGGCTAAGGAAGAGAACGAAAATTTTAGTCAGGATAGTCAATGTCACAGACGAGATTGAACTAGGCACTACCCGAATGCAAGTCCAAAGCGTTACAGCTCGAGCCAGCTCCCTTGCAATCTTCCTGACCAGTTCATAACGAGTGTATTACTGCTCATTCAATGCCACGTACTGAAATGGTATTTTTTACCTTGGCACTACAGTCCCAGTGGTCCTAGGCCTACCTCCATGAACTCCGTTCACTTCGGTTTTTCTAGATCTTACACAATCGGTAGGACTCCCTGGACGGGTGATCAGCTCGTCGCAAGGCCTCTACCTGTACACAAACACAGAAAAACGCACACACACAAACTAAACATCCATACCCTGAGTGGGATTCGAACCCACGATCCCGGTTTCCAAGCGAGCGAAGACAGTACTTGCCTTAGACCGCTCGGCTACCGTGACCGGCCGTCGATTGGGTTTATGTTTAGATATTTTATATCTTCTTGATGATTTGGAAATCCATTGGCGTTCCATTGGGATATTCTTGGGAATTTGGCCATTTATTTCGTTTTGATGACGAGTGTTGTTAGCATGTTTAGTACCATAGTATTTTGTTGTAATAATTGTTGAATAAAATTTTTGAATTCGTCTAGGAATTTTGCTAGTATGCTGGTTGTTTCTTCTGTTTGGGTTAAATCTCGCTTTGTGATTTCTGCGTAGCTTCTGGGTTGGGTTATTTCTAGAGGTTGTATGTTTCTCGTGTAGGATTCATTTGTGTAGATTGCTGGAGTAGAGGGTCTTTGGGAAAAGCTTCTGCTGGTACCTTTGGTTAGCAGTTTGCGGGGCGGTTTCCTTCGTATAGTGCGCATCTATTTGGTGTTTCCATTGTCTTCTTGCAGTCTGTCGTATTGTGTGGGCCGCCGCATTTGACGCATACATATGGCTTATTGCAGTATGTTTTTGTGTGGCCGTATTGTTGACATCTCGTACATTGGATTATGTTTGTTTTGTTTGAATGGGGAGGTTCTATTATTACCATTCTATTTTGTAGTCCTGTTATTTCATAGATCTTTTTGTTATTTTGGGCTGGTTCTAGGTCTACAAAGAATAGGTCCAATGGCTCTTTAGTAGCTTTATGATGTACGTTGATTATATTTCTGACTCTGCGCTCTAGTTCAGTTAGTTCTTATTTTATGTCATCTATTTTTGTTGAGTGATGAAGGTATCTTACTAATATTCTATATGCTCGTTCTTCTTTCAGTTGGTAAGTGTGGTGGCATTTCTTTGTTTGTTGAATTCTCTGATCTTTTTTGTAGGGTACTGGTGTTTCGTAGTTTATTTTGACAACGTTGTTTGCTAGACTTCTGGTGAAGTAATGCTCTTGTTCGGCAATTTTTTGGATTCGTTTTATCATTTCGGAGTAATTTTGTAACCCGTGAACAAATTTTGGCGGCGGTTTATGTATTTTTGGAGTTATGGTGATTTCATAGCTTGAGGTTCCTGGTTGTGGGTTGGTCTCTATATTATTTGTGGTGTTTTTTGTTGATTGGAAGTTTTTTCTCTTTGTGCTTCGGATTGTTTGCCATTTTTTATCGTTATTTTTCTGTGTTTCTTCTTCCTCTTCTTCGCTGGATAAGGTCATTTTTGTATGTGTTGACCTCTGTCTTCATTGTTTATGTAATTCATGTTGGGTGGTTACATTTTTTGTTGTTGTACTGGTGTTATGTAGTAGTTGGGGGGTAGTTGCCGCTGTCTCGCTTGGATTTGTGTTGGTATCACAGTCGGTGAAAAAGGGTATGTTGGTGGGTTCATGGTTGGCCAATATATGTTGGGTGGGTTATGATTTTGTTGATTGGTGATCCTATTGTTGTATTCTGGTGTGATTTCTGGAGGATGCATCATTGTAGTTGCGGATTGTTTACATTACTATCGTACCTGTTGGTTTGAGGTTCCTGTTCTTGGTTGATTTGCACTGTTTGTCACTATT